AACAGAGAACCCGAAGCGAGGGCGGATGGCAGTTCCACGCGGATCGAACGTGAAACATCCTACCTTCCTATTACGCTGGCAGCGATATGGGCTCATCATTATCAGTCCTCTCAGCATGGGGAGTGGTAAAGTCTTGGTCAAAGGATACCAGAGGACGTTGGGAGGGATCAGAATGATTTCTTTACGGTAAAGTGCATTTGCAGAAATATCGAGTGGCGTCACATCTCCCAATCCGTGTGATGCTGAAGGACGGGTCATATCGATGATTCATAGCCAACAACGGAGACAAACAAAATTTCGATGATGACAAAGGTGGTCCCTGTCCATGCAGGTCACTTGAGATGTAGCCACCCGCAGTACAAGGGTCCTGCTAGAGCAGCTCATCCGGGACTCTCTGGGCAAACCATTCAACTCCTAGAAAAGAGCCTCGTGCTGAGATCATGGTCAGTTTTTCTTAAGGCACGCCACAACAGAGTCAATGACAAGTCATTAGATTGACGATTACACCTCCTTGTTCGCTCTTGGACACTTACGGCAACCCCTGCCAAACGTGCCAATCTCGCATACTATTCTCGCAAGAAGCAAGGATCGTGATATCCTCTCAACCAACCACTCAACACCTCCTATCCCTATCCTTGGAGAAGCAGGCAATTTGTTCCCCGTGGCCATGGTACACATGCGCCATTCCAATCTCAGCCCGACCTTTTCCAACCAACGAACCCCATCGTCGCTCTGAAGTGACTAACTACAGTACCAATGAACCCGGTCTCTCTCCCTCACGAGCAAGTCTCTCTTCGAAGGCGGCACGACCTCAAACAACCCGAACAGTCTTGCCCGTCTCGACCTGATAAATCCACCCGCTGATGACGATGTTGTCCGGCACCAGCTTGCTGTCTTTGAGATACTGCACGTCCTTTTTGACCTGGGCCTCCAGGTCCGAGAAGGTGAGGAAGTCGAGTTTGCGGGCATTCAGCTCGGCGAGGGCGTCTGGCCTACACAGGATCTTTGTGAGTGGGAAAGAACCTTTTCATCCTGGGGATGGGGGTATCATATGTCATATGAAGAAAGAGAAAAAGGAGTAGAGAATCCTTCCCCTCTCTCCGTCTCCTTTATGTGTGGATGTGGGTGGGTTCGTGTCAATACATACCCCAAATTCTTCTCGACCAAGCCATAGGCATCGTCATTGGTGAATATCATCATGCCACAACCCGTGTGCTTGACGAGGACAATCTCCTGCGTGCCCAGGAGCTGCTCTGAGATGACGATGCTCCGGATGGCGTCGGGGGCTGAGGCTCCAGCCTGTTTTTTTCAGATCAGCTTTCTCGTCTTCTTCCTTGGTCGCGCAGCGCAGCGCAACGAAGATCGAATCCAATTCTCCATCTCATCTCAGTTCCTTTGCTTTGCCAGCTCTTTTGCCAGGTCAAGTTGACTCATATCTAATCTACTGAACTATACCTATACTTATCTCTGCACCTGCACCTACCTGTACCTCCACCTCTACCTCCACCTGTAACCCTATGCACGTACACACGTACATGCCTCGTATACACACAACCAATGATCGACAAGGGTGGGAAAGTCTACTCACATTCCGGATAACATGCGCGTCGCCGAGCTCGATCCCAAACGCGCGCGCCGGGTCGATACGGGCGTCCATGCAGGTCAAGACGAGGTATCGCTTGGCCGGGGGCAGGGCGAGGTGGCCCTGCGTGAACGAGGACGAGTATGCCTCGGAGGCTGCCTCGACGTTCTTTTGGATCGCAGACATTGTTTTTTTTTTCCTTCGGAGTGGACGATTCGTTATGTCTATGACTATGACGGTGGTGGTGGTTGTGATTGTGGCAGTTACTGCCGGGTAGCAAGTCACTTTGTAGAACCGAAGATCCCTCGCTGGTGGCTAGTAGCTGGTTCAGCTGTAAACTTGACCGCGTGCGTGTGCTTGTTCAGAGGAAGAAAAAGAAAATAAGGCGAGAAAGACGAGTAGATAGATAGATAGATAGATAGATATACGCAAAGAGCCCCAAACCTGACGGTTCAGACAGACACAGACAAAATTGCTAGGAACCCAGCTGAAGCGCTCAAGATGGTAGCTGCTTTAGCTACTACAGTAGCTTGCCCTGCTGCTAGTAATCGAGAGAGGGGTAACAAACCACAATCTTCCCGTCGTCCATCGTCCATCGTCCATTGTTCCGTTGATGCCATTCCCAGTTCCCAATATAGCCATGACCGAAACCCACAATGGCATGGCGGACCGTGGCGGGCGATGGCGTGCTCGCTCGCTCGTGCGCTCGTGCTCTCGCTGCCTGGGCAATTGGAGATGGAGACGGAGATGGAGGCAAGTAATTACCAAGAAAATTCGCCGTTTCGATTGAATTCGAATCCGAGGTGTGGACCGTGGACCGAGGCGGGCCAAGATTGGTTGCTTTCTTGGGAACAGAAGCATTGCCAGTACCAGTCTTTGTAGTTGGGTTTTGAAAAGAAACGTGCTGTCTTATTGCTATTATCTCCTCGTGTGTTTCGTTGAGATTGTGATATATCAAAATAGTAGTGATTATATACTCTATCGAGATAATGACATATCTTTGCTTGGGTAACCTGTGGGGATATGTACACATGGGAAACAACTGATGCCCTGGTGGACTCCTCGCTGGAAAGACTCTTAGCTATTAGGATACAACCTCCATCGTGCGTGGCATTCTGGGACCGACATTGTCCAACCCAACCCCAGCCCCTTCAACAGTGCGACTCCCCTCGTCGTCTGACCGCGTGGTCTGCACCATGACCTCTCTCGTCTTGTCGGGCCTTGAACCCACCTTCCGACTTATCCTCTCCGCTCTCTGGCCATAATATCTGTTTGTTAACGATGGCCCGGATCATGAAACCGACGACAACGAACCACGCCACAATCAACAAGACTGTCATGACGCAGCCAATGACTCGAAGGGCACCGACGTCGAACGCCTCGGCGATGGCAAAGGTGGCCATGGTGAGGGCTGTCTGAGGGAAAATGAAACTGAACCAGGTCATGGCAAACGGGATGCGATTCTTGCTGCGCAGACAATCCACGTTCGAGAGCAAGCTGACGATGAAGAACCACCACGCCAGACCCCAAAGCCAGAGACTCATCCAGGAGGCGACCAGCCTCAAGATCTGGGATGCAAGCACCGCTGGCACGTCCATGAACGTGGATGATGGAGACGTAGCGAGGACTCGACGTAGATTATCGGCCATGTTGATGGTGCCACTGGCCGTAAAGGCCGAAGGACCGACCGAGACAAACATACCCGGTCGAAGTGGTTCGGCGGGCAGTTTCTGCGTCATCAGTCGATATACAAAGGCCGAATAGATGGTGAGGGAGACAAGGAAACCGATGCCTTGGATCGTGAAGCCGCCAACCAAGATACGGATCGCGGCCTTCGAGCTCAGTGCCTTGTCGGCGATGCTGGCCGCATGTGGACCGATTATCAGCAAAGGATAAGCCGGGAAGATCCAGATCGGTGTCATCCGGGCAATGGTGAATGTTTGGGTGGACCAGAGAACGAGGTAGATGATGATGCTCAAAGAGATGGCCAGGCCACAATCAAACCAGTAGAGGATCAAGATGGTCCGATTGAGCCAGGGTCCAACATAACCTGATCCATATTGCACGATGTTGTTCAAGATGGTGCCAAAGGAGACGGCAAAGGCTGGCGCAAAGAGTGACTCGGTAGGATGAGTAAAGCTCGCCCGAAAGGTCCACGGGTACAGTGTGAATCGGGTTATAATCATGGCCCAAATGATAATGTACAGGACAATATTCAACAGAAAGACGACGACACCGATAGTGTAGAGTCCGCGGAAGCGATACGGCACTATTGCACAAGATCTGCAGTCAGAGACACTCTTTTTCAGATGATGCACCTCAAAGCTGCACGCTCGGAAGAGAGGGGGGAGGAGTGAGAAAGAGAGACTGCACCAGTCTGCAAAACATTGGCAATGCCTCCTGTGGCCATGGTGAGCGTGAACCACGCCCACGTAACGTGTTTCATGCGTTGTGACCAGGAGAGGACCCTTGGTTGTTCATCAGGAACCCTCTCGCCCTTGTTTGCCTCTCGAGCCTCATCGCCTGGTATCGTCGTTTGTGAATCCTCCCGTGGCCCCGTGGTGCTTTGAAGTAGCGATACATTATTGAGGTGTCTTGATCGATTGGCATGGTGTTCTGGGTCTTCCACGACCGGCGTCCGCCAGCCATCCTGGAGGTAAGGCGAGCTCGTCTCTGGACCTGGGTCTCGATCATAGTCACCGTGGTAGCGTTGGCTGAGAGGCCGGGCTCGTTGTTTCATGGATTCATGACGCTGAGGTGGTACCACGACAGAGGAAGGACGTGAAGATCGACCTGGCGCAATTGACATTTCGGCGTATTCTTGTTAGTCTCGGCTGCGGCCTGGTTATCCGGTCGAGCCTGCAACTCGGCATTGAAGACGACAAGCACCAAGTTGTCGGGTATCAAGTAGTTCATGAGTTTCCGAAGAAAGCCTGCGTCATCGGTAGCGACTGTCGACATCCATGACCAAGACGACAGAGGCAGCAGCACTGAAGCCGCAGCACTGACCAGAAAAGTTCAGGAGTATTTGATATGGTATCCGACATGGATGTATGCATTCCGAGGCTACACCACTGTGTTCTTGTACTTGGTAATGTTCTCAGCTAAAGGGTAAAGGATTGAACCCATTTGCCGTGTTTCCGTCGTTGGCGAGCATCTTTGTGTCTTTTGGGGAGGCGGGTGTGGCCCGTCAGCATGATTCCGCAATGTCGATCTGCCTGATCAGTGTCAAATCTCGGACAGAACGGGACGGAAGTTGACCGCGGATGCGATCGTGGGGGCTGCATAGGGGTGATAGGTCATCATGAGGTGGGGCTCTATCGTGCCTCAAAATTCTAAGAATATATACCATATACGCAAAAAACGCAGTAGAATTTGTGTGTTGAAGTTTCAACTCAACTCAAAATGTCACAAGTTTGGGCACATGGTCTAGGGGTATGATTTTCGCTTCGCATCAGTGAGCCCTCTGCGGGCTTCAAACGACGTGTATGTGAAAGGTCCGGGGTTCAAATCCCCGTGTGTCCATCTCACCAGGTCCTCCAGGGTACAGGCTTTGAGCCTCCTGCTGGGGGGCGACTTTTTTTTCCATTGAGTTCTATGTGGCCTGATTAGGTTTAGCGTCTATATCACGTGACTAGCTAGTATTACAAGGATATCTCTCGCCACTTAGAGGTAATTTTTATTATAGAAAGATAGTTAGTTATTCTATATCTCTAGTAGCTATTATCTACTAGTTAGATAGCAATTCGTATTCTATATCTCTATTGATTTTTAAATAGGTAAGGAAGATATCTTGCCCTCTCTGATCCAGAAGCTTTGCACGAAATATGGGTTCGAGACATTGGAATTCAAACTCTTCGCAATGAAGTCCTTCAACTGCTGCTTTCGCTTAAACGGGCTTCACAGCATCATTCGCTTTCCCATATTGTGCAAGAGCGCGTCTCGCTACGAGAAGACGACGGATGGGTGTCTGATGATGACATAGATTTCTCAGTGCACGCCAATACCAGTCTCGAAGCTCCTGGCAAGCTCCTGGCTGTCGAGGGTTGCGACCTGGAACCATATATGATCATATCCTTGGTGGACGGCGGCACACGCATGGCTCCGGTTTTCATAGAGCTATCCAGATGCCGCTTTCACCAGATCGGAGCTATAGGTCAAGATCTATCTGCCAATGGCGGCAATAGCAAAAGTGGTTGTTGTGTGACCAAGAGGGCGGTCACTTATCAACAGACGATACCTCAGTCTCCAACCAACGTGAGCTTGAATCAATGTCGGGCGTTTCAAGCTCGCGTACCATTAACGTACACCAGGGTTGGGCAGATGCCAGAGAGCACGACCGGCTAGTCGAGCCAGAAGGGTGGTTACACAAGCATCATCTCCCACTCCAACAGTCATTTTGCGGACTCATCAGCCGGGAGGCCGCGAAACCTGCCTGCAACTCAGGACCACGCTGTGCACAAGAAAGCAATAGAAAACAGTACATGCACCACGTGACATGTCCCTTGCTCATACGAAGCACAACCACCCGCATCACAGGATCGATACAATATCCAAGAGTTTGAGAAACTAGCAAATCTCATGAATGGCCCAAGCAGGTTAGGCTGTGAGGACCTACTACGGGAGTTAGGGAGGCAATCATGCGGCAGTGCCGGTGGAGGAGAACATCACCGAAAGTGCCCCCTCTCCCCCGGCCTTCTGAGTGCGTGAAGTATAAATCGAGCGAGAGGGCTCCGGAATATCGCGCTTGTGCGCTTTTCAAACACTGGAAAGTGGGAAATCATGGGGTCAAGTCGTGGTATTCTTTAGAAGGCCCATCACACCCATGAAACGTCGACTCGTCCTGGTAGGGTCAAGGCGGCAATGTGCCGTTGGTGTGTCTCCAGGAAACCCCCACCCCCAAAGAGCCTCATGTTAGGGCTCTCGTGAAAACTTGATGGTCCAGAGGAGGGACGACCTTGCCTTTGCGCCACCGCCCCGACGACGTAGTCAGCTGGGTGAGCTGGCAAGCCGCTGCAAAAGCGGTGCGAGGGCACGTGGATGGGGGGGAGGGGGGGGGGGTGGTTAGACGAGGAAACAGTTGATTTTCGAGGCGGGGAGACGTAGTCGATAGAGGCGGGAGAAGAATAAGAGGGCTTGATCACGGTTGTGAAATACACTTTTACTGAGTGGGTCGAATGAATGTAACCGAGCTACATAGGTCGCCACAGCGTATGTCTACTTTTGTGGGCAAATCAATTTGAGAAATGGTTCGATATCGCTTCAGGTAGATGAACCGGTCACTGGTCGCATATCGTCATCAACTCGGAATCTATTGCGGCAATCCCCACAGCATGGTGGCATATAGAAGCGAAGAGCGAAGATTCCAAATGATTCACTGAGCAGGAAGCGGGCAGAGTGGGCAGTAACAAGGCCAATGACCCAAATCAACTCATGTCATATTGAAACAGCACCATCTATCTCACCGGGTGTGTGTGTATCCCAGGAGGCCATAACAAAGGGACAGATGGTCAAATAGAAATCCAGCTTGGACGAAACGGATGATAATACTTATACAGGTAGGTAAGGTCGACTGTTGCACTGTGGATAGATCGTTGTTTGGCGCTTCAAAAGGAGTTATGACCATGTGCCTCCTCCTATGTGGGGGACCCTGAGTGATTATCAACCATTTCAACCGTGAAGCCAACTGCTGGGGGGCTCAGATACCAAGGGTAAACTCCACGCCCACGTCAATGTCCCGTGCCATCTTGACAATCTTGGAGAGGTCTACCACCTTCTCTGCTGCTCCTTGCAGGTCGATGATGGAGAAGATCTTGAGGCCCGAGTTGTTGACCTGTGTGACAGTGGATTAGTTGTGGTGCCACATAAGGAACATCCTCGAGAGAACTTACCAATTCAGCCGCTTCCTTCATGTTGGTACCCTGCAAACGACAAACAATGGGTAACCTCAAGTTCATTTGTTGTACAACATGAATCAAGCCTGACGCGATAGCATCACACCGGACAATACCACCAAAGATGTTGACAAAAATGGCTGTCACCTTCGGGTCATTTGTAATCAGTTCAAAGGCCGAACGGATGGCTTCTGGTGTGGCACCACCGCCGACATCCAAGAAGTTGGCAGGCGAACCGCCGTTGATCTTGATGATGTCCATGGTCGCCATCGCCAACCCAGCGCCATTGACAAGACACCCAATGTCGCCATCCAATTTGATAAAGTTCAAACCGTGCCTGCGACTCTGTAAGCAAATGCGTTATGTTGGGGGGCGGGGGGGATGACGTACTCTGCAGCCTTCACCTCATCGGGGTCCTCTTGCGAAGTATCTCTCCAGCTGAAGACCTCCTTCTGTCTGAACTCGGCGTTGTCATCAAAGCCCAATTTGGCGTCCATGGCCAACACTTGATGGTCGCTGGTCTCGCTGAGCGGGTTGATTTCAATCTGGGTGGCATCCTTCTCCATAAACACCTTGTACAGTCTTTGGATTGTGTTCTTTGCATCTTCAATGCACTGTTCACTGAACCCGAGCTCGGTCGCAATATTTCGTGCGATTTCGTCTGTCACGCCCTTGTTGATATCGATAGGTGTTGTGATGATGGCATCGGGAGTCTCTTTGGCCACAGTTTCAATGTCCATGCCACCTTGGGACGACGCAACAATGACGGGCGATTGAGTGGACCTGTCCATGAGGATAGCGAGGTAGAATTCCCGGCGGGCAAATTTCCGTTCACAAATGTAGACCGAGTTGCAGATGCGACCGCGAGCACCTGTCTGCTTCGTGATGAGCTTGTGCCCAATCATTTGACTGGCGAACATCTTTGCTTCCGTAGGTCTGCTTCTCCGTCAGCCAGCTCTCCAGACTTTTCCCCAGCGGTGACTGCTAGAGGTGAACATACGAATAAATCACCCGCACGCCACCTTTGAGGCCATTGTCAAAGGTGCCTTTGCCTCGACCTCCTGCGAGGACTTGGGCCTTGATAACCATATCATCTCCCTCTGTGATGGCTACGTCAGAGTGTGTTCATGCTTTCCCAAACGCCAATTGTCTGCGCATACCGATCTTCTTTGCAATCGCTTCAGCTTCTTCCGCTGTTCGAGCAACTTCTCCTTTGGGAACTCCGACGCCATAGGATCTGAGAAGGTCGGCAGCTCGGTATTCGTGGATGCTTAGATGTCTCAACTGTTGTTGTCGGATTGAGCTCCGCACCGGGGTATCCTGCCACGCCGCGTTAGAAGAAAAGGTGGAAAAGCCAATTGAAGCATTGCAACACTTACTCTGACGGCCTTCAAGGCCAGGCCCAAGTTACGGCGACCCAGTCTATACATATTGCCCACAAGACTAGGAAAGAGTGACTTGGGGATTGGGGGACGCAGCAAGAAATGGACCAGATACAGCGTTGACAGATGCTCGGCAGCTTCGCAATCAGGGTTTCGGAGCTGATTGGTGGCTTGGGAGCATTTCTTGCCGAGCACCGCCACAGGAGCGCCACAGATCGCCACAGAGCAAGTCTACCCGACAAGGTCTTGGCGCTGCGACTCCCTCCATGGATTTCTGACATCGATATATGATTCTTCTACAAGGCTACTGGCTAAAAATGACCGCAGTTTAATGTCGACTGGTTTTCCAATATCGACCGAGCTTACTTCGTTACTCTTTCACTCCCCTATCGCAGCGCGCGTTGGATGAAGTTCTGCGCGTGATGAAACGCACGGAACCAATAAACCGTCACGATGCTGGTCAACCCGTGCAGATGCCTTTACTTACTCGACCCAGCCAAAAGACTGCAGCATGCGGGGCAAACTGACACATCTAGACACCCAGCCACAGTCCTCATACGAATAGATCCCTTCAGCCTCTTAGACTTCCACCTTACAACACTTTTGTCGAGAGTCAGAACGACGCTTTCGATATGGCCTCTGAACCGCAATCCATGACCAGTGATCAGTGAATCGCACTAGTCCCTGCTAATTATATTGCTCTAAAAGGGCAGGCTGTTGAATTTGAACAACTTTTGCGGCAGGGCAAAGTTCCTATAACAACCCTCCTGGCCTACTCTGCCATCCCTTATGCGCTTTCATCTGGGTCTACAGATATCTTGGAAACTCTCCTGAGCTGTGGCTGGGATATAAATGAGCCAGAGAGCCCGAGAGAACCACCCCATCTTGAGTGAATGGCAATGGCGCGAGGCTGTCCCTTTCTAATTTCGTGGAGTTTAGAAAGGCTGCTCGAGCTAACAACGAGGACCTCGTTCGATGGTTTCTGGACCACAGCGCAGATCCCAACAGGACCTGTGTACTCCCTGATACGCCTCTCTCGCGCGCTGCTCAGCATGTGTCTCTCAAAATCGTTCAGCTTCTCTTCGAACATGGCGCCTCAGCCAAGGAAGGCTGTCCCGTGAAGTTGCCTGTCTTCGGGACGACCAAGACATTGACGTCCTGAAACTACTTGTCGACCAAGGTGCTTCCGTGGAGAAACGTCTTTACGAAGATGAACCGGATCCTGGTTGGGCTTCAATATTTGGAAAAACGCTACTGATGAATGCGTGTGCGAAGAGGAACATTCTAGCCATCAAGTTCCTTCTCCAAAACGGGGCAGACCCGGACAAGACAAGGCTCAACGGACCCAGTGCGCTGAGTGAAGCGAAGGCAGGACAGGGTCTCAAGATATAGTTGATCTTTTGTCGAGAGACAGCCGATAGGCAATCACTTGGTAGCGTTGGAAGGAGGAAATTCTACGTCTTTGTGATTGCACACCAGAGCTGATACAGTTAGGATATCTTGGGAATGATCTTCTCACCTCAAGCGGCGTCACTTCTTGAAAAGGCCATACGGAAGTACGACCTCGAGTGGCCATGCTTGCTACGAAGATTCGGACCTATTCCGAGGTGGTTTGATGGTCACTGCTCGGAAGATTCCGAACTCCAAGACTCGACGGGGAGTTGTCCCATCAGGGACCACATGGATTCTTGTTTGAGCAAAGTTAACAGATCCTGCGGAAAGGTCTAAGGGTCTTTGGGTGCACGCCGTCTTTGTCGTCTGTATTTGTCCTACGGAGAGGGTAATCAGCCCGGCTGCTCTCTCGACATGTACTTGAATTTATTGTTCTTGCTTCATCCTTTCGAGCCAAACAGCATCGCGCCAGTATCAAGGGGGCATGGTACCACGACCGTCTCTCCTGCTCCATATAACATGACAGATCAATGACTTCTTCCAGGAGTAGCTTGAATGTTGTTTAGCTAGTACCTTGCCTCCTCACCATTTATATACATTGCATCACACAATATCTCTTCTTCCTCTTCTCATTTCCCCCCTTTGCGTACTCAATTCCCCCTCTACGACTTACTAGCAAGCTCGACCTCCCTCTCCACCGCATCCGCCATGTCCCCCAACGTGACAAACTTCCAATCATAGACCTCGCGGTCGCGGTTCCCCATAGTCCCCCGCCTCTCGATCCAGACGGACTTGATCCCCACCTCCCTCGCCGGGTGGTGGTCGTGAAACTGGCTCTGAGCCGTTTGTAGGACTTGGTGCTTCTCGACGCCAAACTCGGCCTTGACGGCCTCGAGCATGTACTCGAAGTTGCGGAGGTCGGGCTTGTAGGAGCCGACGTCCTGGGCCGTGATGATCTTGTCGAAGCGCACGCCGCCCAACGGCCCCGCGTTGGTCGCCGCGAAGCTCGCCCGGTCCACGTTCGACAGCACCACCAGCTTGTAGTGCCGCGACAGGCGGCGGAGCGCGTCGACCGTGTCCGGAAAGGCGGGCCACGCGCCCACGCTCTGTCCGAACGCTTCGCACTCTTGGGCCGATGGCGCCGTTGCGGTAGTGTCTCCTCCCGAAGAGACTCGCGCCGCGAATTGCGGGTACACGGCCGCCACGAGCTGCGCGTACGGCATCTCGGGTGTTTTGAGCTGCTGCTCCTTCTCCAGCTCGTGGTACAGCGCCAGCGTCTGGTCGCGCGTGAGTTTGTGTGGCTCGCTCAGTGGTTTCAGGCCCTCGACGATGCCCGTTTCCCAGTCGATCAGGGTCCCGTAGACGTCGAAGCACAGGAGGCGGAAATCGGTCAGTTTCGCCATTGTGGTGTTGGTGGTGGTGGTGTTGATGGTGAGTGGCAGCGTCGGTAGTAAGAGAACCTCTGTAGCAATAGCGAGGGGGACTATGCGTGCGTGGTCGGTGGTTAAAAGTGGGTTGAGAACGAGTTTATGGAAAAAGGTTGTAGAGTCCGAGAGTCCATAGACTGTCATTATGTTGTGCTGTCATGAACCTTTCATCATCGGGCTCCGCCGCGCCCTTGCGATGATCTGCGATTTCCCCGACGAGGCGGAGAACATCCAACAACCAACAGCCAAATGCTGATTTCTCCGCTGCCCCTGAAGTCTGGAGCCTCGAATCTAGCCACGCAGGCCCACGCCTTTGATTGACATGCTGATTGTGCGGTTATTGGCGGACTGGATAGGAACACGCCTTCCCGTGTAATATACGTGAGATCATATGCTATACTTTATTGCGCATGTATCATGGCTAAAGCAAGAGAACCACCCATTTGGACTTTGCAATACCACATCAGCGAGGTATCTAATATTAGCTGTTAAGTCATCAACCAGCTCTCTTATACGCCCTGCGTCGCGGCGAGTATAATGATAAATGTCTTCTTCTATGCCCACCCGCAGTCCCCTTCCATGCTATCGCCCTCGACAATCTTACTCGGCGTTCGATTTCGATGGAAAGAGGCGGAGCATCGTTCAGATCCTCTCCTGCGCGGCCACCAGGGGTTCGTTCTAGGAGAAATCTGTCATGGGTTATAATTCGCCCAGGGGACACGGGCTCGCACCAACACCAATCTAAGTTGAGCTTCTCCAGTGTTGAAACGCACTCCTTTGATACTAATAATATAGGGCCCAACTCCAACTCCATCAGGGCTAGCATCTCTTCCTCTTTGCCTAGGAATAGTGACGCGATGCTTCCTTCCCCCTTTGCAGCAGTTTGGGAGAAAGGGTTGAAAAAGGGGTTGTCGTGCAGCATGGATACTCTTTTGCCGTGTAGGTAGATAGGTAGGTGTCTATAATGTCTCTTTGAGACTAGTCAGTCGCGTTTCATGAGCTGAGGTTCTTGCTTACATCTCAGTTTGAAGATACACCAAACTCACCAGCGGCGACGAGTGCCTGGTAATGGTGTCTGGCGTCGTCGTATTCCTGTAGATTTCTCTCGGATCCGGCCTCAGATAAAATTCTGGGTCAACACTCGAAGGCAAGAAGGCTCCGACCGTTGCTCCGTGCCAGGGCGTTAAACACACGGTGAAGGTCAGGTAACCCAGTCACCCGAGCTCTAAGACTCGCTAGGTGTCGTGGCTAGGTCACAGGAGCCGAATTTCCTGGACGCGCACAGAATAGTGCTGAGGGCAGAGAGAGATCGTGTCCCCCGCAGCACGTCAGGTTGGCTGGTCATATGACATGCTTGACAAAGAAAGCGTTAAGAAAGGATCGAGACAACCCCTTCTTCAGGTATGGCCACATGTCACTGTAGCTTCAGCGTCGCGAAGCATCTGTCGGGGACTTCGCCGTTTCTGTCAAAGCAACGACCGTGGATGTATCTCATTGCGGCAGGGTCGTTTCGTCGCTGACTCCTCCCATCCAACCATCATACAGGAACTCGTCAAAGATTGGCCATTGAAAATCTTGGAATACCGTATCTGGAGACCACCCGATCCCCATCATCATGTTGACCGAGTCCGCATTGGGAGAGCTCCAGAAGACTGTTCTGGCAGCTGTTGTTGTTTTTTCATCTTCCACATTGGTCAGTGTCACAGGTACCACAGCGCAGTAACCGATGCCCAACATACCTTCTACGCCCTCCCACGGATTTGGCTGTCCTCCAAACTCCTGTCTCCACAACCAGAAACAATCAAACGTCACGCTCACTCCGAGCCTGTTTCGACAACGGAGCCAGAGGCTGTCAGGAGTGCCATCAGGCTGTTTGATCACCATCTTACTCGTCCACAACTGTGATAGGATCATCGTGGCCCGTGCCGATATGTCATCCGACCTAACACTTTGTTTCTTGTTCAGATTGATGGCTGAGAAGTAACACCTTTGTCCTCGCCTCAAGTCTAGCGCTTCGCGGACGTATGATTTTCCAATGCGAAGGATTATAAAAGCCGCGAGATTCCAGTTCATGTTGACATTCGTCGAGCCATACTCTGCCATTGCTTGCTCCTGATCTAGTTCTGTAGCGAGCTCAATAATGGCACACGAAGTGCTGTATAGGTTAATGAGGTGGCCTTGCCCGATGGCTGATGATGGTGCAATTAAGTGGCAGGCTGACACCTGTAGCTCGGCGATCAGTAGCATGAGTTGATCTAGAGCATCTCAGCAGGGGTCAGAAACACGGTGAAGATGTCACATACCATGTTTAGTGGGACATTCTGCGCTCAAAGTACCCAGCTTTGCTAGACAAGCACTAATGGTCGGTCCGAGCGTCATGTTACGCTCATCTGGCTTTCTTGACAGGGCATCCCGATCGATTTGCACAATAGCCTCGCTTAACATATGGTTCAGTTTCCTTTGGAACCGTACCGTGGGAGTCAATGACGCCAACGGATCCTCCTTGTAACCTTCGTGACTATAAGTGTCTGTAAATACCAGGGGTGGAAGACCTCGTGAGTTGTTGATTCTTAGACACCTCATTAGTCTCGCCTGAAAACCTGCTTTCTTTCTTTTTTCTCACCTCTGACAGGTATACAGACACATCGACCACAACCTGGTCCTGAAACTTCTCTGTTGACCATCATATTTGAGCGGCACTCGTGTGAAATCTTGGACAGAACCATATACATGAAGGCCAACGTTGGTTGCGAGCTGTATCATTGCACCTGCTAGTTGTGGGGTGATGTCTTTCTGAAGTGTGTCGATCGGCATCTGCCAGGTGCAGAGAAGTACAAGAGCCTGGATAGTTGGCAGTACTCTCTCACATGAGAAAATTGCGGTCTTTGCCAAGTCCAGAACCTTGGGAGCAAGAAGAAGGATCAAGGTCGGATCCTTCGAATACCTTCGTGACCCAATCGCGACGATGGTCCAGAACAGAAATGGAGAAGCTCCGTAGCAGTCATTTGGCTGGAGTTTCTGGTCGAAGATCGGGAGATGGGGTAAGTTCTTCTCGAAGAACCTAGTTGTCTTGTGAGCCTGGCAGACGTACCGACGACGAATTTGAGCATATTACTCACAGTGCAAAGCATTCGTCGATGTCTTGCGCATCAACGCTGACGTCTTGAATGATCTGTGGCCGGGTGCTCGAGGTTTGAGTGTTAGAATGTGGGATGTCGCTATTACTTAAATCTGGCGCTGAAGGGGCGGAAATGTTGGTTGAAGCATCCACTGAATGAGGGCTGAAGCCCACTAGCTGCGGAGTTGTATAGGTTTCCGCCAACGTTGGTACCGCTTGCAGACCTCGAACATTTCCGACAGCGCTTGGATTGTCGACAGATTGAGACTGATTCTCAAGGTCAGACGTGCCAGTTCCCACTTGTTTCCTCAGCCGATCGAGCTCGGCTTGCAGTTCGGTCTTCCTGTTCAAGGAAATCAGCGCCAGTCATTTAGCCATGGGTCGGCAGACACACGTGCGCCGTTTCACCCGTTTAAACGTCTTAGAGACGACACAATTCAGTTTAAACCGATTACACCGTGAGCATGGCTGAGAATAGTCTTTGGACGCATCGCATCGAAGCTAACTGCAGGTTACTCGGAGATGGCACATGGGACATAGGGTTATCGAGTGCTCGAACCTTTTGCTGCCTACATTCTGTACAGGCTGTGACTCTTGTGCCCGTTACCTTCGGCGAAGCACCGCTCATGGTGCGAAGGTCAATCTCATGTAGGATGGTAGTTGAAGAGGGCTGACGAGGGTCAGGACATCTGCTGCTCCACCTACAAAGAAGCCAAACAAGGCCTAAGCTTCGACGATAGGTAAATAGCGCAGACCATCAGAGACATGAATATGGGACATGAGCCAAAGCATTATTGCTTGAAAACTCGTTCAATGGCGCGCCACCGTGGTACATCAAAGGTCTCGGGTATAACATCGTGGAGGCAGAGACAGCGTCGGAGATAAATTGCTCCGAGCCAAGGTAAAGGAACTCTAGTCACGTGAACGTACACGTGACTGCGGCTCATTGAACAATTCTCCCGATTTGAACCACGCCGTCTTGCTTGACCCTCGTTTCAATTGACCATCTTGTTGCAGGTGGCCGCACCCAAGTTGACCGGCCTCCCCCTCTCAAACTTACCTCTGATGCGTATTGGTCGGGGTCACCGTGACTATAGGGACATCACCCTCAAAGTACAAGTTCGGGGTATCCTGCGACGTACACAGAACTCGAAGCATTACGGAAATCCTTATATTTCACTCCACGATCAAATCCAGCTGCAGGATGCTATCTTCAGGCAAGCGTCGCGACTGGATAGTTTGCACAAGAGTACAAAGTCCTGGCGGAACTACTGTGAGATAGATCCGACCAGGGGACAAGCAGAGAACTAATGCGCCGGGTAGACAGGCTGAAATCTGCGAACCATGGCTTCACGGTAGCGATCAAAGATAACATTGTCACCGCAACTCTACCTACAACATGTGCCTCCAGAATTCTCAAAGGGTTCTGTGGCCCGGAAGATGCTACCGTCACAAAGTTACTTGAAAAGGCGGGAATGGTTCTGGTTGCAAAGACTAATATGGACGAGTTTGGGATGGGTTCGCACTCTACGCATTCGGCATACGGCCCCGTGGTAAATGGCGGCTCGGTAAAATCCGACCATCTGTCGGTTGGTGGAAGCTCTGGTGGAAGTGCACTTGCTGTGGCCAAGAATCTGGCTCATATTGCAATTGGGACCGATACTGGAGGTTCCGTCAGACTCCCTGCAGCCTATATGAGCCTTGTCGGATTCAAACCGTCCTACGGGATGATATCCCGTACAGGGGTAATCCCCTATGCAAACTCCTTGGATACTGTGGGCATTCTCGCCAAATCCGTCGTTGACATTCGATTGACATTCGGTTAGTTGATCTCTGCAAATTGGCTTCCTCATACTTACAGGTACAGATATGCTGCAGAGGCCAGACGTCTCGGATCCCACGTGCCTAGATCAGTCATCTCGAGAGCGAATCAGAGCTTCCAAGCACAAGAGAAGGCGGGTTATTCTTACATCCAAGCTGTTCGTCACCAGAGTTCCCTTTTCAAAGCGCTTGCTAGAAGCACAAGGTCTGGCGCCTCTGGCTTCCAGACGAAGAAACCTTGCCGTCACGGCGTCTCAAAAACACCACACTCGAAGAATAGGAGTTCCACTTGAGTACAACATCGAGGAGATGCATCCCCTTGTCCGTTGGGCATGGATGGCAACATTGAGCCATCTGCAACACGTGTACAAGTTTGAGATTGTACCCATTTCGCTCCCATCTACAAAGCATGCACTTTCAGCTTACTACATTCTGGCTCCAGCTGAAGCGTCTTCCAACCTCGCGAAATATGACGGTGTCCGATATGGTCGAAAGCGCACTGCGCCCGCAGATGGAGGTGGAGATGACAACCCGCTTTATTCTACTTACAGATATGATAATTTCGGGCCCGAGGTTCGAAGACGAATTCTGCTGGGAACTTATTCCTTGAGCGCTGGGGCAATGGACAACTATTTCATCCAGGCCCAGAAGATCCGCCGCTTGGTGCAACAGGATTTTGACGCAGTTTTCAGAATGCCAAATCCCCTCCGGGACGGCACCGAAGCAAATCCTCACGGCGTGGACATGATTATTGTGCCTACTGCGCCGAGTCCCCCACCTTACATCGAAAGCTTGAAGTCTTCGAGACCTGTGGAACGATACATGAACGACATTTTCACAGTGCCAGCAAGTCTAGCGGGTCTTCCAGCGATATCAGTCCCGGCGCCAGCACATCCTGATCACCCTTGGGATCCAGAAGTGGCTGTCGGTATGCAGGTCATTGGGCAATATGGTGACGATTTTTCTGTCATCTACTTTGCACAGAACTTTCTGTCGAATTTTCATCCAAAAGACATGAGACGCACGGTTGAAACCAAGATCTTGAGCTAGGACACGTGTCGTGGTTGGCATGGTCTTCAAATGATGGTATAGCCATGTACCAAACGATGCATCTTCATTTGAGTGTATGGAGCACATCTCAGCCCTGCCCAGCATGAGCCGATTCCGATCCGCCTTTGAGCGTGTTGCCAGAAAGATCCGCAAGGGTTCACGATCTATCATGGTAAGGTCAAACCTGCTGCCTTCAGTGATGGGCCCGCACCTCGGCATAAATGTGTCTTCCAGGGCAATCAGCATGCCGATGCAGACTGCGAGTGTCATCATGACATCCCGATCATTCTCCCTGGGCCGATCCCAGTTTATTACGAGCTAACGAGCCACATGAGGGGCCCGCTCTGACTCGAACCCATCGCTCCAGAAGATACAATCCATTGCAAGCGACACACTCAGGGCTACTCAATGCCCCTTGGTAGCTACGTCAGTATATGTGCATTATTCTGGCAGGATTGGAAGGAACCAAAGTATTGGTGTAGATGTAAGATAAGGTGTTACGCCCAGGCGATGCTCCCTTAGAGACGATACCATGTACACATAGCTATGCGTGTTATGAATAGAACTCCTCGGAGTAGTGAGTACCAATGCATCACATTTATCTACGCCGTCACGCTTGAGTACAACGCTTGTAACCACGATACATGCGTCTCAAGATCTCCAGAGACCAATGCGATCCATCGCATGATCATGCGCATTAATCTCAACGGGCAAGGTCAGCCCAACGAGCAAAGGGGCATACGTATCAAGAACTCGGCCCTGGTTGGTGGGGCGGAATCCATTCTTTCGTTCTATGGCTCGTATCATATCTCGTGTAAAATAAAAAGCCTGCACTGTGCTATCCATCGTGCGTTTGGAAGGGGCTCATGATCATCACATCAATCAACCCGTCATGTCCATAGTGTCGTCGCCGTCGTCCCTCTTCTCTCGCGCGTCGAGCTGCATCTCTCCACCACCTTGTCCATCTGCAGATGATCGGTTCCTCCCGGCCAACAACTCGCGTCTGACCTCGGGCCCAATATCTTTGTGGCCCCGAACCAACAGCAGGTCCAGGAGCGCTTCTCGTTGATCCTCGGTGATTTCGTTCCGGTATGTCTGCGCAAAGATCAAGAGGCTCTGGTGCCACAGGACGGGCAGTTTGGCTTCTTTGGAACCCAGGACCTCGTGGTCCGGATCCTGCTCCTTGGAGGCGCGGAAGCGGAGGAAGTGAAACACGAGGCCGTCCACGACTTTGTACGGCAGCGCGTATTTCTTCGCCAGCAGGACGCGGATGAAGATGTTGGCGGCGCCGGCGGCCTCGCTGTTCACGTTTGCGGTCTGTTCCGCTGAGATCTCGCAGAGCCGAAGGAGGGCCGCGGCGGAATGGAGCACGGGGATCTTGATCTTGGCCAGCACCGACGAGATGATGTGCGCCTCGCGGAGCGTGCAGCTCGATTGGACCAGCGGGAACAAAAACCCCTTGAAGAAGGCCGAGGGCCGGTAAAAGGCGGCTTTGAGGGCGTTGTAGAGATGGACATTGAGTTTCTTGGTCTCTTGAATATCCTCCCTCACGCGGTCCAGCAGTACAGTTTCGCAAAAGTGCTGGCCTGTGGCCGCTGGGGCAGAGATGAAGATCTTGGTCGCGCGGTAGACGGCGTGTGGTGTCCAATTCTCAGGTCTTGTAATGGACAAGAGCTCCGGCCACTGAGGCAGCGTCGGGAGGACTTTGAAAGGCTTGGGAAGAGGTCCGGACTTGTAGCGGGTCAGGAGCTGCCCGACCTTGGTAAATGTCTCGACGACTTTCATGGGAATTTCCACGGCATCTTCCATAGGGCCACCGCCCACAAGCAGCTGTGGTTGGTCGGCTGAGCGGGATGCTTCGAATGCCTCCTTCTCCGCGATACGTTGCAGGATCAAGTCTGCAAGATTTGTCGTTTGACCTGTGCCTTCTTCGTCTTCTTCCTCCGCACCCCCACTGACTCTCTGTTGCTGGTCCCTATGTCTGCCGTCGGTCGCAAGTGCGTCTCTGGTGGTGAGGTTTGCAATTGACGGGGCAAAGTCGGCCAATTCTTCACCGTCTTGAAGAAACCTTTTGTAAACAGCCATCTCTTCTGGGTCCATGTCATCCTCGGGGGCCGCCGCATCGTCATCCTCCGGTATCCATTCCTCTTCATCATCGAGCCGCGAGTCTCCTTCCACACCTTCATTCTCGTCTTGGTCGTCTACCGCAAACCTCGAATCGAAGCTGAATGCTCCATTTGTCGGGGATGTGAATCTTGCTCTGGTTGCCCGTCCTTCTGCTGCATCTTCCTCGACAAGATCTTGAGCTATAGCCAAGATTTTCCGTGAGGATCGAGAGTCGATATAGCCATCTCCTTGTGCGTTTTCATCCGATCTCGATTTTCTCTTTCCAGTGATTGATTTAGTCCGCAGTCTGCCCCCAGAAGCAGTGATGTCGTCTTCGAGAGGTGCATGTCGGCGGGCAGTCGCTGCTTTGGACATTGTGAGTTCTTGTGTCACAGAAGGCCCGGGAGAAGGGTGTGTATTGGTGAGGTTGGAATATGATCGCAGACAAAAGTAGTTGGGCATAAACCTGGGAATTCAAAAATTATTTTGATGATGCCGCCGATCGTGCGGAGAGGGAATTTTACGCGGGGCACTGTTTAGTCATATTCGCTAAGACCTGCATTTCCTAGAACTCCCAGATATCCAGGCGAGCAAGCACCTTCTCTACGCTTGATGGCAGAACCCACCAGTTGCCTTTTGGGCCAGAATGCTGGATTGTTAGGTTACAGAAGGTGGCCATAGCACCCCAGCCGTTGGAAAATTTGTCTGGACTCGGTCCAGAACCTCAACTCACTCTATGCCCGCGAAAGCTCACCACAAGCTCGCGGGAATTCATTTCGGATCGGTATGATGGTTTCCAGCTCGTTATGCGATATTTCATGGGACAATCATGGATATCTCCAGACCGTAAAGAGAAAAATGTTCTTGCCAAACGTTGTCGATGCCCTTGCACTCTCCGTCAGTCTAGATCAACCGACGAAAACCTCACGCCTCTCGAAGAAGCGGATTCAGAATATCTCAGACCTTTCTGAATATATACAGGATGCTAATGCAGTTAAGCAGCAACGCACGTTTCTGTCTGCACTTTGCTAGGTCCGTTACACGTTCTCGTACTCACATTTGACAGCATCATACCACAAGAATACTCTTGGGGTCGTCTTCGCTTCACCTATGCGGCCTTTCAGAAGCTTATGTGCTCGCTGGAGATCTTCCACCCGTTCTTAGACATCGTGTGCGCCTTCGGTGTCAAGAGTAGCGATGACGAGCGTCTGATTCACGGGTTTCGATCTGATGCGTTGTGGGAAGGTTTTGTAAATCGACCGCACAGTAAGCCTCTATTCTGCTGAGCTCTCCATTCTTTTAACCTGTACCATGTTCTGATGGGTTCAGAATCTGTTACATTATCCTGTACATCGAAAAGTGTAACCGTGAGCTTCGAGACCCTTGGTCCTTGAGACAAATGGGGGTGAAGCGTTATACCTTGATCTGCCGAATCCCTCCGTCCCGGGTCGTCACGGAGCATGCTCGCAGTGTTGTAAATTAGGATGTCAACCACAGGATGCACACCTTGACCACGCAAGTCGCCGAGCCAGTTGTGGACCTGGGGCAAATTGGCCCGAAAAGGGATCGTCTCGCCGTCTTCAGTTGTGACCTTTTGTGATTCTTGGAAATCCTGCAGTGACCGCAGGCAGCAAACAGTCAGCATCTCCGCGAACTCACACCCCAGTGAGAACACGTCAGATTTGGTGCCGCGAGCCTGGGCATGGTCTGGCCGAATTCCGGGAGCGCGGTAAACCGATACCCCCCAGACAGAAAAGCTTGCGTTTCCCTCAAGATCGTCTGGAACGTCGTCTTTTGCGAATGCCGAAATCAGCCAAATAGATATGGCTCTCCTTGACCAAGATGTTTGAAGGCTTGATGTCTTTGTGTTTGATATTTAGCCGGTGTGCAAAGGCTGGCGCGTGCATCAAGCAGCCAGGCCACGGCAGCATTTGCATCAGGACGACTTGAGGATAACCCTGACTTATGCAGTGTTCCAGGTAATAACGGAGATCCATATCGCAAGCCGGCTTCATGAAGATACTGTAGGCTTTGTCGCTTCGCAGCCAGAACATCGCGGTGGTAATGTGAACGTGGGTTAACTTCTCCATAATACAGAACTCGTTTGATTTCCCCCTCGCGCTGCCGTATAGTTACGCCGCCGAGCAGAACGTAGTTTCGGGCAAGTATATTTCTATTAGATATCTCTTCCACTTCGTAAACTTACCTAAAGAAGCCTCGGCTTAGCCGCCGTAATGTTTTGAATTTAGTATAGTATTTGTGGATTGGAAAGGAGGGTCTCAGGTATAGTTCTTGTTCGGCTCACTGCAATGCAGCCTCAGAGGTGGCACGTTTTTCAACGAAGGTTCTCACCAGTTCTTCATAGTTGAGAACAGTCTGCAACGTTTCGAAAATCAAAATCAGCAGCTGAAATAAGAGACATGGTGAGCATCCAACGGAGGACAGCACGTGTTTGCGTAGACATCTCGTTAAGGACAACAGTCGATCCATATACGCGCTGAAATTGTCTTGTGACGGCTGCTGGACGTTTGGATCATCGGGAAATCGGGGAATGTCCGCAGCCAAGCGTGGAACAGCACGATTGAGTTGCCCCGACAGCTCAATGATGTCTGTCCATCGTACGTGAACCTTGCTGTAAGCATACTAGGACTGCGTCAGGCCAGCTCATCTTCGCAAGGCATCTGGGGATCTTCAGACCTGGCTAACAGCGAAGAGGCCACCATACACCAGCCCAGCCAGATCGTCGTTGTCACCCTAGCCCCTACGTGACTTGATGCTCGAAACGGCGGTGAGAGTTCTGGCCTGAAGGGTTTGGCCAGAGGTACATCAAGCACCATCCTCTTAAGGAAATCATGTCCGAATCTCCAATAACAACAAGATCCCACCGATATGTGTAAATGAGCATTGACTTATAGGGAATGACAACCATCAAAAGTGCTGAGGGTGTTTGGACTAACAGTCCCAGATGGGCTCGACAGCAGGTGGCAGCAATTAGAAGAGACCCGGGGATCAAAGGGTGCTCGCTCACCGCCAGCCAATTCTCAAAAACATTTGATGCATACCGTAGGCGAGAGATTCAGGAGTCATGGTTGTACAAGATTCGACAAGATATGGTTGGATTGGCAATAGGACCAAGCCGAGAATATAGCCACAGACCAGTTGGAACGGGCACATGTCAGACGATGAGTGGGAGGTGATATTGACGATGGCAAAGGTGGAAGAGAAGTGGATTCGCGCACCAGTTCATACCAGTTCGTGGTTGACGTGCAGATAGCTGGAGATCAGAGGCAAAGCGAGGCAATGGGTGGCCCCAGCCAAACTGCAAATCCCAGACGGTGAATGGAGAAAGAATAGGCCAAACGATGCCGGCGTCCGCTGTCAGAAGTTCGGCGACTGTCAATCAAACAATGCCAGACCTGGACGGGACCAAGCTCGTGGATCTCGCTTTGAGCAGGCTTTTGCTTTGTCCTAGATTCATGACCGCCGAGAAGCAGGCTGCCGTGCCTTGTATGGTTTCAGATTCTTACCCGTTGTGAAGGATTCAGAGATGACTGGTGATATCCAAGACCTGGAGAGAAGGAGTTGTGAAGAAAGTCTATCTGGTTGTTGCCCCTAAGGACATTTTTATCATCGTCTGCAACAGCGGCAGCCAGGCGGCTTAACTAGCCATCACTAACCCTGGACGGGGCTTGGAGGCTTGGAGCTGATTTAGCTATTGGAGGACAGCCAGGCATGCCAGGGTCGTTAGAGGTGCCACCCCCTCGTTGCTTTTAACTAATCCGGTAAACTCCGGGTCACCCTGGGCATTGTCTGGGCTCCTTGTCCCTTGTACCTACAAGTAGGTATACCGATTCTCATCCGGGAATGAGCATGGACATGGACATGGGCCTTAATAATTTGTTAGTTATCAAGACCTGCATTTCTTTCCCTCCAACCAGCTGCCACCATTTGCGGTTCCCTGCACGTTCCACCCCCTGCCATCTGCTCATCTTTCATTCTTTGCTCTTTTTACATTTGCATTTTTCGCGCCTGCGCTTGTCACCCTGGTCGATGATTGATGATTGATGATTGACGAAATTGCCGGTTCACAGCTGTTCCCACTGGGCCCCTTCTTTTTTCTCTGCTCGACAAACTGATCCTCCCTCTGCATGCCGCCTCGGTCCTCCCGATCCTCCACGCTCGAGTCGAACTCGTATTCGTTAGACAACTGGGTTTATGTGGCTGGGGAAGAGGAGGAGGAACAAGGATCATTACCTACATACGAGGTACACACCTACAGTAGAGACATGCTCGGGATATACATCATCTGATGGCGGCATTTCATACACTTACCTGGTTCCATCTTGTCTTCTCCATCTCCTTTTCCTTTGCCCTCTTTAAGCGCCATCCTTCCCTTTGCCATCCTTTAGTCGCCTATCGCCTCCTCCCGACGTTACCGTCGCCGCCATTGTGGCTACGGTTATTGTCCTTCTCACATCCCCGTCCATCTCACCCCCTTGTCACCTGCAAGCATTAGTTGACACAAATCCGGCCCCTCCGTATCCATCAAGGAAATGGAAACCCTCGTCAAATCCACATTATTCATCCCTCGTGAGATACTGTCCCGTGCTCTGCATGCGATCCTTTTCTCCTCCTCCATCACCCTCCACCATTTCTCGCCAACCCATTTCCGATCTCTTGGTAAATCCTCTTGAACCTGTGGGCGCTGTCAGTTAACCGGCGCTCCCGCCTCGCCGTGATCGTCCGGTCCCTTAAGAAGCGAATTCGCAATTATCCCCCAAAGCATATCTCACTAATTTCCAAACTCGCTTCTTTTCTTCCCACGTTTCCACTCTCCTTGGGACTTGTCTCCCTCTCTGCGAAACCATTTCAGCATTTGGAAATCAACTGTGCAATAAAGAACCCCTGAACTCTACGTATATAATCACACAAACGCCCACTCACACGCCTCACCCGAGTCCACCCACCTCACAGCTAAATGCGCATTAGCGACGTTTAACTCAAAAAAACCCTTGCACGCCCCCCGCGATCGCATTTTCTTCTGCCGGCAGTCCGCGATACCCCCTAAACAGCGGTTTTAAACCTCCTCCCTTTTTCAGGGCATCCCTTCTAGAAAACCGCATCGTCCAGTCCCCGAGAGCCGCGATCATCTTTCCACCCATCTCCAACTTTCAAAAACTTTCCCCCTCCAACACGTTGTCCACCTCCTTCACCCTCGACACCACCTTTTGACAGCTAGACATTTCCGATCCGACATCTCAACCAGGTCACGCCAACAACTGTTTATCGACTGGGCAACTCTTTGTGAGACATCCCTGTTCTCCCGAAACCCACCTGCGCCCGGCTACTTGACTGCCAACCTGGAGAGAATCGACCACTACGAGACCCAGCGCCTTCGCACCTCCTTCTGCCATCTCTACCTCCCTCCAATGTGTGGACCACTCCACCCTCGGTGCAAGATATTGATGCCTTGCATGACTTGAAAATAGGACCTCCGTCAACGTCGACGCGCACCGCCTTTTCCTACTCGGTCTCTCGACGCCACGGCAGACTGGTGCTTAAAGAAGCATCATGAGTACCCTTTTTCAACCCGCTCTGAGAAATCCTTTCGGCTCTCCTATCGAACCCTCACAGAGACCTCGATCAATGGCCATCCTGCCCCAAAGCGCCACTAATAATCACCCCTCGCCGAAGTCGATTCAGGAGGACTCGATCATGACCTCTCCGGCTCCTCCGAACATGGGACCCCCAGGGCCGGGAGCAGGTGGAAGTCCCGAGGTGGACCAAGGACAGGGCAACAATATCTCAAATGGCGCCCGGGAGCAGGTCTCTCTTGGTACCAACAGCAGTACCGCCGCAGGGGCTGTCGGAGCCTCTCAGGGGCCAAAGGTGGTGCAGACAGCTTTTATTCACAAGCTATACAGTATGTTGGAGGACAAGACCATACAACATCTCATCTCCTGGTCCAATACCAATGAGAGTTTTGTCATGTCCCCTTCGAACGAATTTTCAAAAGTTTTGGCCCAATACTTTAAACACACAAACATCTCCTCCTTTGTTCGACAACTGAACATGTACGGATTCCACAAGGTCAGCGATGTCTTCCATACCGGATCTCCCGAATCGGCTCTGTGGGAGTTCAAGCACGGGAACGGCAACTTTAAAAAGGGCGATCTGATGGGCCTGCGAGAAATCAAAAGGCGCGCTTCCCGACATACTTTGATACACCGCGACTCGTTCTCAAATGCGAAACCCGGTGTCTCTCAACCAGGCACGCCTGCTGATGTTATGCCTGACACAGACCAGCGTCTTGCAAGCCTCGAACAAGCCTTCTACGATGTTCAATCAAGACTACAGCGGACCGAAGAAAGTTATGCACTGGTGAACTCGAGGTGTCAAGCATTGACCGAGGGACTGGTCCGATGCCATCAATATCTCCATAATTTGACGGGCGCTGTCCAGACAATGTCCTCCCCAGAATCAGGATTATACGCGGATATCGCCAGTATCCAAAAAGAAATTGCGCGACAGCTTGAATATGTACGCGCTTTGGAAATGCCCCAGGAGTCGTTGCAAAACGGCAGACAGTCGTTCTACCCGGGCGGTTCCACCCTAGAACCACCTCTCTCACCTCGGGGACTCAATTATCCAGACAGCCGAAGATCCTCCGTCCAGATCGAGTCCCAGCATGTAGGATTACGTCCTCCCGTCCCGCCGATACCACCTCAGTTTTCTTCTTCCTCGCCACGTCGCTTTGGGTCCATCAGCATTCCCCATGTCTCTCCCGGGTTCAGTCGTCCTGCCCTCCCGCAACAGCCGCCCGCCAGTGTACATCCTTTGGCCTCGGTGGTGACGCCTCCACCGATGAACTTGGCGAGGAGACACACGTCAGCCGATATTCGAGAACACGGTTGGCCGCCTGCTAACGGGAACGGCGGGAACGGATCCCCCTATGCTTCTGGACAATCGTCCGTGCAATGGCAGCCGTCTTCACCGCAGCAGCCACCTCTAGCTGCCGGCGACCAACAAATTCGTGATCAATTGGCTCAATATGAGATTAATGGTCCTAGGAGGAACGCTGCGGTGAACCAGCCGAGCCAGTCCACACCACCACTTAACTCGAACTCCGAGGCACCACCCGCAGGTCTCGGAGTCGAGAACGTACCTTGGCCGTTGGGAGGCAGCAAATTCCCACGGCCGAACTTTGAGCTTCATTCCGCCCCCGCCACGCGGAGAGGAAGTATGGCGACTTTGCATTCGTTGCTAAACCCCGCTGAGACAGCGGAGCAAGAAAATGAGGATGAAGGACCTGGTCACGGCCGAGATGACGACCGGAAACGGAAACGACTGACATGACACAAGAAAATCTTGCCCTTTGCTTTTTACTGGACGGGGGTCAATCTTTATCGGAGCTTGGGACGGACCACTGGTCCCGCACAATTGGCGAAAAAACGATGTGTTTACATGACGCTTCTCACGTTGTACATACCGACAGGGAAATTGGATGGTAATTGATCGAAATCGACATTCGACCGTGACTTTGGCAAGTAGTCCGGCTCTAGCGAGACACTTGTGGTGTATATTTTCCGGGGAGGCTTTTTCATCAGCACTGCACATTCCAACAGGGTAGAGACATGGAGCTTGGATAGTATCGAGATCACCGAGAATGGAGCGTGATAAAAACAGTGGAGATATAGAGTCGGTTATCACCCCAGGACTGACTTGCCTGGGAATTCCGACCAGTTCGCGGGGATACTTTGGGCAGATCTCTAGAGGCCTTCCAGCGCCGATCCTGTGCAATACGATGGGACCAACCCAAATATCTGCCCGATCACATGCGTGAGTGAAAGTTGTTGTCGAAATGATATAGATGAGAAGAAAGTGTCCAAGGCTGTACAAAGCAGACATCATCACGATGGAGCTCATGAGTCGCATGATACGTTTTGTGCCAGTCGCGGATCACCCTGGCTCGGATTCCGCGACGCCCTTCTTTTTCTTCTTGTTCTTCTTCGCAGCTCGAGAGGCGAGCAGCTCGTCTAGGTAACTGCTGGCTCCGCGTTTCTTGCCTGCCCTGGGCAGGGTCACCTGTGGATTGCTAGATGAGGTCGCTTGAGGAGCGCTGTCAAACTGGTCATGCGACTCGTTCGGCGCGGAATCAGCAGCGTCAGAAGGTTCGAGTGAATGTCTCGTCTCGGAGGCTGAGGAGGGGTGGATCTGCGACGGAGTAGAGCCAGAGGCTTCGCTCTCGACCGCTGCTGCTGCGCGCCCAGCATTGGTGTTTCGCTTCCTCTTGCCCACCACGCCCGAGCGCGATTCTTCCTCGTCCGAATCATCCTCGCCCTTTGCCTGTCTTGGTGCCCGTAGTTGTGTGTTCGGTCGCGCCGTCGAGGCATTATGTGTCTGTGCGCTTCCATTCGTGGCTCGTCCCCGCTGGTGGCCGCGGAGTAATTGCTTTCTCAAGAACGCCGTTGTCGTATTATGGTCGGAGGAGATCCCATTTGACAGAGAAGATTCCGTGGGAGGGTGATACCCTACACCACCTGTCTCGGAGTAGACGTCTTTGTTCCGCAGGAACTCTCGTTCGAGATCCTCCTCGGCTTTGTCTTCATCTTCATCTTTGTCTGGCCCATCACCGACGGCGGTACCGCGGAGCCATGATTTCGCTAGTCGCGCGGCTTCGGCGTGGAAGAGGAGGGCCTTGTTGGTGGCGATGTCGGCATCTGATGCGGCCGCGGCAGTCGTTGGTTTCGCTTTCGACGCTGGTGAACCTGCGCCTGTCGACGGAGCCATTTTGAGGCATCGTAGCCTCGAGGACGGAGTAGGTGTGTGGATGAACTTTGCTCAAATGGATTTATTTGACTTCGTAAAGGATCAAGGAATGTTAGCCGAGACTTTGCGGGGTGGACTAGAACCAAATCCAATTAGATTAACCCCCCACCAAGTCAGCCAGCAAGCCAGTCTTGCCTGCGTTTTGTCACCAATGGCCACGATGTCTCGATCCGAAATACAAGTCTCTGCAAGGATTTGTGTTGTAGTTGCTGAAAGGGATGCCAAAGAAACAGAATGACATGGGTTTGTCAACGCTGGAGAGCCCGAGGACCCCCGTGGATACGGCGGCTTGAAGTGTCTGTTGAAATCAGGATTGTTGCTCCAGAAAGACATCCGATCTGCTATTAGGCTGGATCCTATTCTCGTATACGAGATCGAGTATTATGTACCGAGTACATAACTTGTTTCAGGCTGAATAGTTACGTAGGGAGTTGCCATTCCCAGAGGCGGGGGGCCTCAAAAGGTCGAAGGCGGAGAACCGCGAGTACCAAGGCGCATGTGGACGTGTAGATAGCGCTGTCGATTTCTTTCACATAGCGACGGCGAGCGGCGCGAGGGAAGCCAAGGAGTGATAACATCAAGTCAATCCCGCCGGCTCAACTTTTCCTTTCTCTCTCCCTCCCTGGAGATATTCTCCCTAGGGTGATAAGACTGGGAAGAACAGGACCAGAGCCAGAAGAATGTCGACGGTAATTCTCGGCGGAGGCATCATCGGTCTCTCCACGGCGTACTACCTCTCGCTGGCGGCGCGCGCCTCGTCGCCGACAAGAACAATCCACATCGTCGACTCGTCGCCCGCGCTGCTCGCCTCGGCGAGTGGCTTTGCCGGCGGATTCCTCGCGGCCGACTGGTTCAGTCCGTCCGTGGCGGCGCTGGGCGCGCTCTCGTTCCGTCTGCACCGCGAGCTGGCCGAGACGCATGATGGGCCGCGCAGGTGGGGGTACGCGGGGAGTCACACGTATAACCTGAGCGTGGATGACGGCGCGGCGGCGACGAGGAAGGGCAGGAGGGGCGATTGGTTGCGCGATGGGACAAGTCGGGTCGAGGAGGCGTCGACGTCGGTGGTGGCAGGCTCTCAGGAGAAAGGCGGTGGCGATGATGCAGGGGGAGGGAGAAGGGGAGAGGACGAGACACTCAACCCGGACGGCTCGCCTGCCGTATGGACCCCCCAGCCCGGCGGGACGCTCGAGACGATTTCAGGCCCGGAAAGCTGCGCGCAGATCGAGCCGCGCGAGCTGTGCGAGTTCCTGCTCGACGAGTGCCAGAAGCGCGGCGTCCAGGTCCACCTCTCGACACGCGCGACGGGGATCCTCACCGACGACGACGACGACGACGACGACGACGACGGCGCTCTTAGGGGCCTGGTATTAGCGTGCACCAACCCCGATGGGAACACCGAGACCAGAGACCTCGAGTGTCGAGACGTCCTCATCTCGGCGGGCGCGTGGACGCCCAGGGTCTTCGAGACGCTGTTCCCCAAAAGTACGCTGCAGATCCCCATCGAGCCGCTCGCGGGACACAGTCTTGTCGTCAAGTCGCCGCGGTATAAGAGGCCGTTTGTCGACATCGCGAAGCGCAAGGTCGGCGGCGGCAGCGACAACTGGCTCTGCTACTCGATCTACAGCACCGCCAGCGTGCACTGGTCGTTCGCGCCCGAAGCGTTCGCGCGGCTCGCCCGCAACGGCGACCCGGAGATCTGGGTCGGCGGCCTGAACGACAGCGCCCTCCCGCTGCCCGAGCTGGCCAGCGACGTCAAAGCCCTCATCGATCCGGAGAGCATCAGGTCGCTGCGCAAGACGACCGTGCAGTTGACGGGGCGCGTGGCGGAGGAGGGCGAGGAAGGTAACGACGACGATCTCGAGACGGTCAGGGAAGGCCTGTGTTTCCGCCCCGTCAGTCAGAGGGGGACCCCTCTCCTGGGCAAGATCCCTGAACAATACCTCGGTCTTCAGCCCTCTGGAAGTGGCGGTGTCTGGATAGCGTCTGGACACGGCCCGTGGGGAATCAGCCTGAGTCTGGGGACCGGGTTGGTCATGAGTGAATTGATTTCAGGGGAGACGCCGAGTGCAGATATAAAAGCACTGCTGATCGCTTAATTACAGACTATACAAGATTATACCCACACTCAGTTCTCTGTCTCAGGCGTCCGTGTGCTGTGCGCAGGTTCCATTCCCAGTCTAACTTCTAGTCGACGGTCAACATTAACTCGCTGGATCCAATTGAGCAGTTCTCTCTATCTTGCGCCAAATCCCCCCCATTCTTCGGCTGCCAAGTCAAGTGCTGACCGCGAATGGAGGCAACGTCGTGGTCACTGGCACGGCACTGTTTGGACAGACACAGCCTCCGTTCGCGCCGCTGCTGACGCTGGTGAGAGGTGGCACCGTGCAATGTGGACTGGGCGTCCAAGCCTGGGTAGAAATCGTGCTGACTCCAGCGATGGTCTCGGCCTTGACCAGCACGGGGATCACAGCGCCCGTGTTGAGAGAAAAGGTCCGATGTCCGAGAACTCGCAAAATAGAGCCAATTTCTCCGGAGTGGGAAGTGAACGACAGGTAAGTCGACTTGTCCGTCGAGAAGATGCTGTCGAGCAATGTCTTTGACCGTGCGTCTTGGGCCGAATTGGTCTCGGCGGTGACGCCCGTCCAGAGTTGGTCGGTCTCGGGGAAGCCAGGTTCGAACTTGTACGTGGGGAACTGGGAGTGGATATATGTCTTGTTGGAGCGGCGGTCGCAGGTATGTTCGGAGATGGACTCCCGGAGCAGAGCTTTGATCGTCGGGATGAACGGTTCGTTCTGTGGTAGTGGGAGGCCCGAGAAGGTCAGATTTGCCGTCGAGAGACATCGGTACAAAGGAGATACATAGTACTTTTGCGGAGTTGGGATCTTTTGCTCCTGGATACGAGACCGCCAGAACCTGTTGGCGACAAGGGCTTGAGAAACTCCATTGTCCGTCAAGTGAGCGTCGGACCATGTCGCTGTCGCATTGCCGTCGAGGAGAGACCAGTAGCAGTTCCACGCGGGAGTGCCGTAGAAGGACTCGGCGGCATTGTGCCAGCCTTCTCCGTGGCGGCCCATGAACAGTAGCTTGTATTGCACGTTGGCGGGAGCCGATTTGGTCAGATTGGCAATGACCAGGGCAAATCGTTGCCACTGGGTCAAGGAAGCGGCATCAGAGGGATCGGTGGGATAGCTCTGGTTGATGAGGCCGAAGTTGGTCGCAGTCTAGACAGGAAGTATCATCAGAAGACGAAGAACTTTTCTCTTACCCCTCCGCTTCCATCGGATCGGGTCTGCCTTTCACCACTTACATAGTCAAATGTAGTAGCGTTGGTCGAATTATCGCCCTGCAGGAAGTAGCCTGGGACAGTTGAATACTGGATGTAGGCCGAGACAGCAGTGAAGGCGCTGCTGAGCAGCAAGGATGTCGCAAGACAAACCATGGCGGAAATACCTAGAGATCAGTCTAAAGGATGAAGGGGTACAAGATACTGTCCTTTTAGCTCCGACGTCTGAGTGATGATGAGCTTACCTCTGGTCCCTTTATATGGCTGTCCTCACAGTCATGTTCCCGTGGTGCCTGGCCGTAGGAAACACCCTAAAGACTCCTATTGGATGCCATGATCACCAAGGTATCCGGTGCATTAGCCAATGCTACCTCAACGTTGGCGTGGTTGAAATGCAAGGAGCTGGATGGGAAGTAATGTAGGTCTCCAGGGAGCCAATCATCTCGCAGCATCAACAGGCGTGCCTGAAGTTGGTCTTTCCAATCCAAATTAGGTCTTATGAACGTGTTGCGCTCCTTCTGGTCTTGTTGTGGCAGCTTTGACGAGTTGGAGAACCTCGTGCCTCATCAATCTGGAACTACCTATTATGACAAAGCGCTAGCTGAGATCTCGAGACAAACTACTTCAAATTTCGACCACGTTAGGTCTAGATTGTAGACATTATCGCTGGGGAGAGGAGGCAAGAGAGCTCGATGAAGACAGGGTTACCTCTATGCTTGCCGACACTGTGGACAAATGAATGGTGGCCACTGTTTCTAATGAACAGTCGATATACTCTGGACGGAAGGAGCGACGAGGATCCGATCAAGATATGCCCTGTTTAATCACACGTTCAATTTCCTGCCACCATATGTGTATAGATCCCACGATGAAAACTCCCAGGGTACCAGCGTACCTAGGCCCGGTGTACGAAACAAGATCAATGTGATTTTCCACGGCCCCAGCACATGGAGTATCAAGCAGGCACCACTCTTGTTGACAGATATTCTGGTGTAAGTTTAGAGAGGACCACGACCATGAATGATGTCGACATATTCACAGGACATATTGTAAAACCTAACAAGAGCCATCTCAGCCAGAGAACACCAATAACCAATTCACTCCTCATCAATCGATCGATCCACTCCCGTCTCCTCAGGCCCTGAATATCTATCCCGTCACTGCAACACCATACGTCGCCCTCAGCCGCCCAAGCAAGTGCTCCCCCGCCGTCGTCTGGCCCAACGTCGCCACTGTGGCCGAGCCGCCCCCACGACCGATCTGGGCATCTCGGAACGCGGCTGTGCGCTCCGCGACCGCCAGCGACGGCACGGGGACCAGCACGGTGTCGTCGGCCGGCTGAACAAACACAGCGATGGAGTACCTGTCTGTTCCAAGGGCGGAGGATGTCGCGGCGACGTGCTCGTCTTCTTGCTCGGGTTCGACGAGCACGACGCGGTGCACGGTCGACTTGAGGAGTCCATTGGTCCAGAACTGGAGCAGGTCGCCGATATTGACGACCACGGGGGGGAAGTCCCGGTCGTGGTAACACGGTGGGGAGACAGGGACACGGGCCCAGGTGCCGTCGTCCCGCAGGATTTCCAGCCCAGGTTGGCCCGGCCGCGTGAATAGCAGGGTGATGCTGCCGTAGTCGCTGTGCGCGCCGGCGCGGATGTCGGCTTCGGCGCGGTAGTCGCTGTCGGGCGGCAGCTGTGGGTAATAGAGCATGCGCACCGTGTAGGGTGAGTTTTCGTGTGACCGGACGAACCAGTCCGGGTCGTCATCGATACCCAGCCCCAGCGCGATCAGGCGCAGGATCCGGGTCGCCATGGCGCGACAGCGGGCGTGGAAATCGCGCAGCGCAGCCTCCGCACGGACCTCTGAGAATTGCGAGGGAAGGGGTTGTCGCCACGCGCCGTTCGCCGGGTCCGGCTCCGCCAGGTTGAAGCACTGCTTGAAGTCGCCGCGCGCGTGGCTCTGCGGGTCGAGATTCTCGACCTGCATGTCGACGAAGCCGCGGTTCTTTGTGATCTTGCAGGCCGCCTTGTCCGCCGCGCTGGCGCCCTTGAAGAAGCGGCTGCTGGTCTCGAAGACGTTCTGCACCGTCGCGGCGTCGAGGTCGTAGTCACCGCTATCGTTGGTCTGTGACGCCGGCGGTGGCGATCCTGCGATCCACAGAAATCCGTGCTTTGCAGCGGCCTGGACAATCTCTCGTCCCAGCTCCGGTGATTCTTGGGAGATGTCGAACAGCGGCAAATCGATTGATGACGCCGCAGCGGGAGCCGCGCCGTTTGCTACCGACACCGCAGGCATGGCTGTCGCTCCACGCTTGCTCGCTCGCTCGCTCGCTCGCTCTTTCGGTCAATGGTATGGCAGCGAGGATGGACTCTCGTATGTAGTACCTACCCGAGTAATGGATTCTGTGCTTTATCAGGTTCGAGTGGATCACTGCATCGAGACAAGTTGTAGTTATCATTAATTATCATTTAAAGTCAGCGAGCGAGGGAAACAAGAAAATACTTTAATTGATGGTTTTGACCCACTTTTGAACGCTCGGTGCCGACCGAACTCCATCGCGTCCTTGGGAGGAAGGGATTCGCTGTTGTCCGACAGAACCCTCAGAATATGTATGCGAATCAAGTCTTCTCCGATTGGTCAAACTCATAGAGAGACATAGAGGTACAGAAGTAAATAAGTTCAAGAATCAACGAGGAGTAGCGATTTAAAGTGTTGTTTGTGATACGAACTGCCAAGTTGCCTGTTCCTGCATCTTATTCGTACATTTGAACAAGTGACTCTTTCCCAGTAAGCGTTACAGGCTAGTTCTGCTGGGGTTGGGAATACGTACCGACTCCCCCAGGGGCCTTCATGAGCATATGCTAGCTAGCTACCCGACATCCACACCCCACGTATATACGGACCGTCGGGGCCTCGCTCACTCTCTCAAGCCGACTCCGCCACACACTGACCGCCCGTGAAGCCCACGTTATCAATGACAAAATCAATCTCGTTCCCCGGCAACACCTGCGAACAATCCCAGATCAGCGAAAACACCAGCTCCGAACAGTCGGCCACAAAGTCCAGCGGTATCGCCTCCGCCCAGGCCGTCTGCGCCGTGTTGCCAAAGACATCGACAAGATCCCGATTGACGCTGTCGCCGACCTGGAGGGTGAGGCTGCAGGTGGAAAAGGCGGGGCCGCTGTTGGGGTTGTCCACGAAGGGGACGGCGTAGTCGTAGGTGAGGGTGTAGAAGGTGTTGGGGATGAGGTTCGTCAGGTTCTGAGAGACGCGGGAGACGGGCACGGTCGAGGTGCCGCGGAAGTAGCTGCGCGGTGGCATGGCTGGTTAGTAGTTGCGCATCTCGAGAATACAATCTCCCTACCATAGAGAGGGAAGGAAAGGGTGTCGAAGAAGGGATACATACACAAATTTCGTCCCGAAAGGCGTGTCAGAAGCCGTTCCGCTGTTCTGGTCGAAAAATGCGTTCCCAGATACTGTCCAGTCGCCGCTGGTAGATCCCAGTGCTCCAATCGAGTCGGAGGAGACGTCTTCGAAGCTACCGTCAGTTATGACGTCCTGTGATGATGAATGGTCAGTAACCTAGAGATCATACGGGTGTAGGACAAGCCGACGAAAACCGCTGAGGACATACCGCCGTTCTCGAGGATGGACAGGCACTTGTAGGACATGCGGAGGAACTGCTTGTGGTTGTAGTAGTTGTCTGATGGTGCTGAGTTAGCTTCTCGCCTTCGAAAAGGAGCGAATAGGTACAATACATACTGTTGTAGTTGTAGTGGTGGACGTTGTCTATCACGAGTCTTAGCTTGCCGTTATAGAGATATCAAAGGACAGTTGACATATTGTGGCCTACCGCTGTGGTCTCCGTGATCGTGGTAGTAGGAGTCGTCGTAGAGGTAGAGGTAGTAGATGTATTAATAGTCGCTGTCGTTGTTGTCACGGCTGATGTCGTGGTGCTAGCAGTAGCCAGGGACGAAGTCGAACTGGTGGGAGTGGATGCACTAGTACTGGTGGTCATCGGCGAGTTTGTGGAGCCTGTCAATCTCGTTGAAGATCCGAGGATGCTCGTCAATGCTCTCGAAGAACTGGTAGATGTTGATATTCTTGTGTCAGTAGGCTTTGAGTATGTTGTTCCGTGACTTCTAGTGGCTGAAGAAGTGTGCGATAGGTAAATAGAGGTGGTCGAGAGGACTGCAACCGGAGAGCTTCCAGACGTGAGCGGCCTTCCTGGTTCATGTTCTGTGCGTGTTGCTGTGGTATGTGCAGATGTGCTTGTCTGGGAACTCTTCAACTGGGAGAGAGTCCACGGAGATGCAGTAATGCTCTGTCCTTCAGTCTTGTCCCAGCTTTGCCAGTGAGGGAGGTCTATATCTCGTGCCGTCGACGTGTCACCGAGAGAAGCATGCGGCGTATGGCCATTGTGGGTCCAGGAATACTGAGCCGGGGACGAGACTGACGATGCAACCAAATGTTCAGAGCTGCAAGGGCACACGATGTGGGTGTTTGTAACGATAGTGGTGACTACAACCTCTGAGCTGTCCCACTTGTCTTGGTTCTGGCCATGGCAGACGGTGACAGCAGCTGCGGTAGCGAGTGCCCACAACGTTGATCTCATCCCGCAACTAAGATAGAAATCAATAAAAGAATTGGACGGCGACAAGCGTCACCAGAATGAATGGACAGCCTTGAGCAGGTCGAGCAGCAATGTAAGAGTAGGAGGAGTATTCACATGGTTGAGTAGAAGAGGCAAGGAAATAGTGATGGAGAAAAGCTTCGACAGGTGGGGAAATAGGGGTGGGTATGGCTGAAGGATTCGCTTTCGCTTGATGAACAGGTTAGGTCTAACACCCCGTGGGCGCCAGAGAGTACCGATCCGGAAAGCGTTGAGGAGGGAGTTTTTGAAGAGGCGCTCTTCCAATTTCTTTTTGTGGTTAACATCCATGAATTCCTAGCGCTAGCAAAGTCGCGTGGCGTTCAGACAAGGGAAAGCTTCGGTCTATCAAGCTTTAACGGCCCGTTATACCAGACTAGGAAGGCGATCCTGGTGGCTTGTAAGCGGCTAGCGGTAGCAACGCGAAGGTCAAGTATGACTTCTCAACAAGCGGCACGTCTCATGAAAATTGCACGACGGCGAAAATGAATGGACGGTCTCTCCATCGTCATCAGCCACACCGCGAATCGTCTGTTCCACAAGAGACTTGACTTCCACCAAAGGTGTAAAGACATGGTTCTTTTCAACTAGCATATATGAAATGCAGCTCAATTAGCTATGTGGTAACATTCAACAAGAAGTTGATCAACGACGAAAAGGAAACCCATCCCAGCTCTTACCTCCAACAGTAACATTTACCTGTTGTCAAGACCGTCCGAATAAGACGAAGACCAATAGAATCGTTCTAGTAAGTAGTGACTCCCAGCCATTCCTTGATGTATTCAAGCTGGAACTTCTGCGCCTGCAGAACTCCCGGCTTGGTCAGGAACGCTGGATTGAACGAATCCTCTGTGTGCCCCCCCTCCGGGACGACCATCAGACTCGACGCGTTGCGGTCGGCCGTCATTCGTCCGTACAGCTGCCACGGGGCCCAGCCGGAGACGGGATCAATGGTGCCGAAGGTGAACAGCAGGTGTGTCGCCGCGAGCAGGTCCTTGGTTGTAAAGTGATATTTCGTCGACAGTTCCTGGTGGGTAGGGATGGTCATGTTGAAGGTCTCGGAGCAGAATTTGCCGCGGTCGCTGCTATACCCGAGAGAGCCGGCGGGGAAGATTGTGCCGGAGGGGATCAGGTCCGCCGCGATGGGGAAGTAGCGGCACTCCAGGTATTGAAAGGGGAGTTGCTCGGCGCCGGCTAGGCTGAATGCGTTTTGTCCAGCCCAGTCGACGCAAACGCCGTTGAAAAGGACCGAGAGACTGGCATTGATGACTTCGAGCGCACCGTGAGCCTCGAGCGTCAGATTGAGGACTTTGTTGAGAGGGTTGGCTATGAGGCCCGGGAGACCCGGTAGGACCCCATAGCTGAACTGCGCGTTGGCCGTATACGCGTTGAGGATCTGTGACTGGTAGATCAGGTCCAAATCGCTTGTGTTCTTCGGGACCTCGCAGAGATTGAGCCCGTGGGCGAGGTCCTCATATTTTGTCCCTGAAAGGGTAATCAGTATCTTCTTCGTGATTGGGGTGTCCACCGTACTGACCGGTCTTGATGTAGCCATGATAGGTTGCCAGCGCAGCTTTTATCTTAGCAGCAACTTCCGCGGAATAGCTCGAGTAGATGTTCGATAGCTCCAGCTCGCGTTAATAGTCTTGTCATGCTAGCGATCAGGTATGCTTACAAAGGTGTACCAATTCCCACGCGCAGGATTTGAAGAATTCGGCCCAAGGCTCTCGGTTGGTCCAGCCCAGGCAATTGAGCCATAGAAAGTCTCTGGGTGGTTAAGTCGGAGCATGGCAGATAGCCAACCCCCATAGGAGCCTGCAACGTGAATCAATTCCCAGTCTCCTGCCTTTGTTCCGAATGACCAACGTACCGCCATGTGCAATGACCTTGGCATCTCTCAGTTTGGTATTGTTTTTCTTCAAGTATTGGACAAAAGCAACAGAGTCCCCAAGAACGTTCTCCACGGTGAGTGTGGCAAAGCGCTGAGTGACGTTGGAGGCGATGCTTGGATTGCTGACGCCGAAGAAACGGTGTTCGAGTTGCACCACGGCAGCACCCAAGGTTGGCGCCCAGTCTTCAAAGACCATCTCTTCCTATGCATAGTCAGACACAGGTCAGACAACATCGACAAAAACCTACCAAGCACGAGAGATTGGCGGTCTCGGCTCCCTGGAGGAACAGGATCGGACCTCCTGGTTTGTAGTGGTCCATGATAAGTTGATATTGTTGTCTAAAGGTCCCGCTCTTGGTGGAATTATGGTCGATCTTCTGATCGTAGAACGCAGTTGGATGAGTGCAGTTGACGCCGGTCTGCCCAAAGGCAGTCTGTGCCGCTGTCAATGCCAGGAGAGCGAAGGAAACTAACATGATGAAATAGCTCCAATGAGTGTCGTAGGTGCTTTTTGCCTCTGATCAATGTACATATACCAGACTTAGGAGTGACCTAGACGACCTTTATATACTATTTCGTGAGATTGCATCCTCATTGCCGGTCGAGCAAAAGTCCCAAGAAAACCACCGAGCAATGTTGGGCTTGTGACGTAGCTTGATGCAACAGCTGCCAATTCCCTGTCGTTTCGAAGTGGCCTGGGGAAAATCACTGTTACCTTTAATTTTAGACATCGGGCCTTGTTGGGTTAGCTGAGTAGATCTGTGAAGGTGTGTAAAGGACGTTACCGGCGCACGGCATGGAAAGGGGAAAACATGCGGACTCAATCTGGGGAACAAGCAACGAAGGGGATATCATTGGTACTGGTCCCATCTATTGACCCATCTCCAGGGTAGACACGATGACATAGCCACCAGCGACACGAGCATAGCGTTTCCGAGTCATTGAAACAAAGGGGACAGAGTCTGTATTTTACGAGGTTGGCGTTTCTTGAACTTGGCAAGGCTGAAAGATAAATCGCAAAACTAACCGTATCGGGAATAGTGTGCGATACTCCACCAAGTATTTCTTGAGCAGATCTTTTAGGCCATCCCCCTAGTGTAGATCTTCAGCCTCTTCATCTCTATGCTACTTCCACAGCCATGACCAGACGAGATCAAAGGGTCGAAGCTGAAAGTACTACAACCATCAGCTCCGCGGATCATTTGGCCCGAAATACATCAAGATCATCGTCCTAAGCACCGTTAACCACGCGAGGTTTAGTTCACGAAGATAATAGCCCTTTAATTGAACTTTCGAGTTTCAAAAGAGCGAGTGCAATCGTTGTGGTATCGCTGAGTCTCTCCTAAAGTAGGGCATAGCGCCGCCCAACACCATGTCTTCCTCCAACGGCCGCGTGTTCCTCATCAACGCTGCTTGGCTCGAAAAGGAGAATTGACCGATATGTCTCCGCATATCGCGACACAGAAATGGCCATTTCCTCCAGGACCTTGTCGATCCGGGTGGTCGATCGTTGACCGCAGAGCCTTTGTGTCCTTCTGTCTCTTGGTGTGACATTTGCGTGTCGGTGCTGGGGGCCGGGTTGTCCGAATGCAGCTTTGGGGCCACTCGTCGCCCATTCGCAAAGACTTATAAGTTTGACAATTCCTTTTCTCTTAGAACATACTCTGCCCTACCAAGCACTTCTCCTGAATAAATCAAGTCTAACGACAGAACCTTCCTTGACAGCTGTACGTCATGGCACGAGTCTCGGACACAGTCGCTCTCGACGCCACCGAGATAGGCGTCTATATCTTGCTCATGCCCCTTATCATATTCCTCGGAATACGCCATGGCGCCAAACACTCTCTGGGCTTCGTCTATCTTTGCCTCTTCTCCATCCTCCGCATTGTTGCCGATGCGCTGGGGATAGCCAACCGAAACTCGACGAATGAAAACACCATCATCACCACTCAAGCCATCAACTCGGCTGGCTTGTCTCCCCTCCTCTTGATCTTGGGGGCCCTTGCTCACGAAGCCCACCACTATCAAATCAGAGCGACCCTGCCACATCGCGAGGCACAGAACGTCCTCCGCCAACTACGGAGCCTCCAAGGAGGCTTCCACGCCCTGTCAGCCGGCGGCATGGGATTGATCGTCTACGCCGCAGAAAAGTCAGCCAGCAAGGACAGCAACCACGATTCCGGGACTTGGACGGCCCTGCGCAAGTTGGGGGTTGTCCTGATGCTCCTCGCCGCCATTGCGGAAGTCATATACGCTGTGTGCGTCTGGATGGCCGTGCGTCGAACGAAGGTGGTCAGACCGGTGAACCTCCTTTCTTTGGCGGGTTTCACGTTTGTCGGCGGCTTGTTCGTCGGGGTTAGGGCGGTATACTCGGTCATCTACACATTCGATACGAACCCGGACCTCAGCCCAGTCACTGGCAAATTCGTCGTCAAGCTGATCTTCATCGTCGGTGTCCAGTTCTCAGCTGTCGCCTGCTTGATCTGCGGTGCGTGGCTCACTAGAAATGTGAGGAGGGACACGGCGTATGAATCGATACGGCCGGCCGGTCAAGCCTTTGGACACGGTGGACACGCAGACGTCGCGATGCCTCTCACATCTCAGAGTTTTTCGAAAAGATGGGAGCCGCCACACTACGATGCCTGATGCAGGCACCATTACCGAGTTGTTTCGTCGGAGTTCATTCTTCTTGTACCTCGATCTAACCAGAATTGGCTATAGAGAGTGGCTATATCTCCGAGTCTCTTTTCCCCAGCAAGATCCCACCAGCCTTGCGCATTCACGCATCCTAACTAGTTCAGCCTCGACACTATCCCCTCGAATGGTAAAACCCATCGTTTACCTCTGTATTATACCGGCAGAAGAAAACGTCGCCATCATCCAGCCATATCTCATGCCGCGTCGCTTTTCAATTGAGGCGTTGACGAGGCATTGACTGAGCGAGTGGTAGCCCTTTCTCTGTCAAAAACATTCATATTCAATATATAGCTCACGTTAAACATGGAGTCCTCCTCAGCCAAGTTGCTACAGAGGTAGATGTACCGCATCGTCTACGTCATGGAGAACATGAATCGAGGAGAAGGAGAAAGCGTGAGGAAAGCCGCTGGAGTCATGTTGATTTGTTGACGGCGTTCCTTGAAAATGATATCTTTCGCACTGTATTCCGTTTTGCGCAAACCCCTTCATCTCTTGTCATGTAGATGTGACGACCGAGCGGTATGATATCATCTGTCTTGCGCCTTTGTGTGTACTCAGCGAACATCACCGGGAAATACTCTGATCGATTTCTCGAGATTTCCTTTTGCTTCCTTGCTTTTCGTTGTGCTTGACCATTTACCCTGTAAGACCATACCTTTTCTCCGCCATGAAATCTGATGCAAGACCGACGTGCCACGAACAGGGCCATTCGGGCCGTCTACCTCCTGTGTTGTGACGACTTGAACCAAGTTCTCGAATTTATATTCCCCTAGTTGTTCCAGGCTCTTCACACCCAGAACCCTCGGAGCCGAATCATATCTCGCTTTCAGTTCATGTTCAAAGCGTGTAGATAAAGTCTGGCCGTTTATCTCCCATCAGCCAGATCTGTTCGGCACTCAATCCATCGTGCATACGGTCTCGCTTGCCACTCAGACGCTTGGCATTTTCGATCCTGAGCATGACGCGGGTAAAGACGGTTCCTCCAAAGAGACAGACGACCAGAGACCCGAGCACGACACCGTGGCCGGTCCAGAAGCGAGGCGCCTGCTGCGTGAGATAGATGTTGGAACTGACCACGCCGCTGATGTTGCCCACTCCCACGGCGATGCCAATGACGATCCCCCGCTTGTAGACGCCCTCGGTGTTGTTGCTCGCCCAGGAGAGTGAGTTGGGGATGTTCGGGTAGATCCCGATGGCCGCTAGGAAGGTCCCGGCGTATTGAATATGTGGATTGTCGGTAGACAGGAGCATGACGAAGCCGGCGATGCCGATGGACGACGCGACGATGCTGCAATAACCCCTCTGCTGGGTGCGGTCGGCGATATAGCCCACAGTAATTGTGGCGATGGCGGCCCCTGCGTAAGGAGGGACCGAGAGCAGCTGTGCATGCGTTCCCTGGTAGCCCAAACCGCGGAGAATTGTCGGGAGGAAGAGCGAAAAAGCGTAAAGAGCACAGTCGCAGCCGGTGTAGATGACAGCGTATGACCAGGTCTTCCAGTCTCGGAGTGCGGCATAGAAATGTCGCTTGTCGTATTGCTCCTCGTTGCTGGCCTGTCGATCCGCAGCGAGACGTCGACGCATCCGGATCTGGTCATCCGGCGTCAGGAACCGGGCTGTCTCTGGCCAGTCGAACACCATGACCCAGCAGAAGCCGCCGACAACCATCGTAATCAGACCTTCCAGGATGAATATCCACGCCCAGCCGGGCTTGCCGCCGACGCCGTCCATTTGGGCGATGGCCGCTGCTAGCAGGCCTCCGAAAGACCCCGCCAGAGCTGCAGCGGAGAAGAAGATGGCGGCACGCAAGCCGAGTTCGCTCCGTTTATACCAGCAAGAGAGGTAGTAGTTGACGCCAGGAAACAAGCCCGCCTCGGCCAGCCCAAGGAAGATTCGACAGGCGAGCAGGCCTGAATAGTTGTGCACTAGGCCCATACACGTCATGACCAGGCCCCAGGACACGATGATGCCGGTGAAGAAGACGCGAGGTGTCAGTCGCCGCAAAAGGACATTGGTGGCTGGCTCAGCAAGAGCATAGGTGACCTAGGTGTGGACTGTATCAGTTCATCCTTCCGCAGCACCTTAGGTGAAGATTTGTCAGTGAGACACCTTACAAAAAAGACAGTGAGTGCGGTATTGTAGTCCCCTCCGTCCATGTTGAGGTCTTTTTCCAAACCCGCCAAGCGAGCATTGCCGACGTTGGATCGATCCAAGAAGGAGAGTAAGTAGAGCAATCCAAGCCACGGGATGAGCCAAAAATCGACTTTGCGGATCAGTGCTCGGTCCTGCGACATTCAAACATGAGGGTTTGGTCCTGTTGTGACACACAAGATGGACATACGATTTCGGCCCTCTCGGCGTCGCTTTTGCCTTCATCAGGATCTGGCATATCGGCAACATTGTCGTATCGCTCGATATGGACTTCTTGTTCTTTCTCGGCGAATGAGGTGGTGCCCACGTCAAGGCTGACCACTTTGTGAGCTTCCTGCATCTTGGAGGGCTGTAGTAGGGGACTTTTTGGGGGAAGAATAGAAGATCAGGTTTTTTGTTCTGGGGAAGCGATATATCAAGTCTCCTGGTCAAGTCGGTTTCTGGAGATGGTGCAACTGTAATTGCTCCGGGGCCCCAGCCTTAACTAGACGTTGAGAAGATCCCCGCGTCCCTCCACGGACGAATGCGGTTTATCCCCAAGACACTACTTCAGTGTAAGGGAGGGTGTCTTTGGAGGAGAAGCTGCTGGAGGAATTGACCTAGAAGAGGTTAGCGGATCCGTTGTGATTGG